CGACGAAGCTTGCATGACCTCCACCACATGCATGAGTCTGAGCCTGACGCTAAAAAGCAGCCAAAATCATGGTCGTGCTGGGAGTCGAACCCAGGTGGCCAGAAATTTCGAATGGATCCGCTGTGCGGAAGCCTCAAAATCTGGAATGCTAAACCTCTACATCACACAACCTCACTTGTGCCCGCTGGCTGAAGCTGCCCGTCCTATATCGCCAATCCAAGGGCTGTGAGGGGGAAGAGCGCGATTCAAAGTGGAGGTTTGCTGCGCGAAATCCATGACGATCAACGCTCATCGTTCAAGAGTCTACTCCTACCGCTGTTCTGCGGCGCTTGTGCTGGCAATGGCAGACGCAACAGAGGCTGCCGCAGCGAGCAGGCGGCAGGAAGAGCTGCAGAAGCAGGTGAGCCTGGCATGACATGGCATGGTGTAATGGAGGCAATGCGAACTCACACTGGCGTTGACTTTGGCCGTCTCATCGCATCGGCGCAACGGTGTCGGATCGTGCCCAGCTTCAAACGCTCCAGGTTCTCGAATCAGAGCTCAAGACACTACCTTCGGACGCTGTAGGTGACCTGCTCACAGGAGAGACATGCCGATATCAAGCACTTGCTCACACCGTTGCTTCTGCGTCGACAGAAGGTGTACAATGCCATCGCAACACCGCTCGAGGCGCCACTCATAACGCATGCACATGGCCAGCATGCATTCTTCCCCAACTTGGACGCCAAGGCTGCCCTGCAGGACGTTCAGCGTGAGTATCAACTGCCCCGCCACGGTCGAGTCCTGCGGATGCTGACAGTCATCGTTCGGTGGATGGGCGTGCAGGTCAAAAACGGGTCTTGCTTGCAAATCTCGGGCAGCTGAACGAGTAGCATGCAGTCAGACAATGCACAAAGCCACTTGTCGTGCCTCCGATACGGTGACGATGCGTTGCACCTCCAGCAAGGCAGCACGCAGCGAGGCAGAGGGGGAAGTTGGCGGCGAAGCGAAACATGTTAGATTCAAAGGACCGCATCGTGTGAAAGTGAGGCTGTGGGGCGGGGTTGGAAGGGGTGGAGATGGCGGTCTTGGAGCGCGTCAGCGTGCGTCCGCTCGGGAACGGCCCGTTTGGCGACGGGCAACTTCGACCACCGCCTCGACGTTCCCACCTCCACCATCGTCTACCGCACTGCCTTTTGCTGCATCACCTGCCGGATCGATCCGACCGTATCGCTGCGTCGCGAGTGCGCCACACCCTTGCTCCATGTATCGCCCGCTCCCACGCGCCGTTTCGGCGCTTCCGAAACGACTCACCCCCGCTTCGGCACGCTCCATCGTCACACCATGCCGCCCGGCCATCGCATCTTCTCTGCCATCACACAGCGTATCGATCGGGCGTCTGCTGTCCACCTCGCGCGCAAGCCGTGCCGAAGCCGCAGCAAAGCCGGCTGCACCCACAGCGTCGTCGAGTGCCTCGGCGAGTTACAGCGATGGCGGACCTGCAGTGCCGGGTGTCACGATGGACGCCAAGTCGCGGGCAGTGTACATCACATGGGCAAGCGGCATCACGAGCAAGTTCCACAACATCTGGCTACGCGACCACTGCCGCTGTCCGCAGTGCTACCATCCAACCACCAAGCAGCGTCTGCTGAATACGTTTGAGATCGCTCCCGACGCACAGCCCATCTCGGCCGAAGCAACGACAGAAGGGTTGCTGGTGCATTGGCCTTTGCTGCCTTCGGAACGAGCCGCTCAGCCCGCGACGCCCGAACCAGCACAGGGTACCGAGGAGGCGGCAGGAGAAAGCGCTGCGGGGCCACAGCATCCGTCGCTGTATCCGTGGCGATGGCTCATGCGCAACTCGTATTCGCCACTGCTCTCCGACCCCGTCACCGCAGCCAGCGACGACACAGGCCTCAAGGGCATCGAAAAGGTGCTTTGGGGCAAAGGCATCGGCTCGGCTCCTCCGACAGTCAAGTACGACGAAGTCATGGGTTCCGACGAGGGCGTGCTCAAGTGGGTCACCAAAATCGTAAGTTTGCTCCCCACCACCCTCATGCTTCGGCAGCCTGAGCTTAATTTGCTGACGGAACGATGCGTTTGGCTATTCAGGCACAGTATGGATTCGCATTTGTTTCCGGTGTGCCGCCCACACCGACGGACACGGAGGCGCTCATTCGCCGCATCGCCTTCATCCGCGAGACGCACTACGGCGGCTTCTGGGACTTTACCTCGGACCTTGCACACGGCGATACGGCCTACACTGACCTGGCACTGCAGGCACACACGGATACGACCTACTTTACCGACCCCGCTGGGCTGCAGATGTTCCACCTGCTCAGTCATACTGCATCGAAGACCTCGTCGAGCGGCACCAAGGGTCCTAGTGGTGGAGAATCGCTGCTCGTCGATGGCTTCCTTGCTGCAGCGGTTCTCAAGGACGTTCATCCAGATGCGTACGATACGCTGAGTAGGGTGCGGATCCGCACCCACTCGGCAGGCGACGAAAACACCATGATCCGCCCACTCCTTGATGGCGGCTATCCTATCCTGCAGCACGACGAGGCGACGGGCGAGCTTGTGCTCGTGAGGTACAACAATGACGATCGGTCGGTGCTGCGCGTCGACGCCGACGATGTCGAACCATTCTACGACGCGCTCAAGAAGTGGAACGCGATCCTTACCAATCCCGAGGGCGAGTATCGCGTGCAACTCAAACCAGGCACCCCGCTCATCTTTGACAATCACCGCGTGCTGCACGGTCGTGCCGCCTTTGTGGGCAACCGACGCCTCTGCGGCGCCTATGTCAACCACGACGACTACCGATCCAGATTGGCCGTCCTCCGCACCCAGCTCGCGGAAAACAGATCCACTAGAGGCGTCTGGGATGACGGCCTCTAGTCACCCCAGCACCGCAAACACACTCTCTTTGTACTAGTCATTTTTTATACAATCGGAATGCATCTCCTTCTACTGTCTTCCACGCTCCCAGACAAGCCTTGTGTGCCGCCCTGTCCTCGCGACCAGAAGCACCATCCTTCGTGGCTGCAAGTCTCAACCACTCAATCCAGCCCCGAATTCATCGCCCGGTCAATCATACACCTCCACAATCCACACTCTTACACGCAGAATCGATAAACACATAGACGAGCATGTGAATATGCACAGTGGCGCGACGAGACTATCATACAAGAGGTTACATAAGCAGAGTACGAGCAACGAAACAAGGAGACCAAAAACAATGACGACTGGCGAAGGAAAACGGTGACGACGAAAGGAGCGACAAAGAGTGGGGACCAAGAAGAAAGAGACAATTTCCACGATCAGGAAAATTTGGAGTGTGCGCGGCAAACTTAGCACGCGACGACGTGCATCTCGGTCGAGGCATGCGACGACCTTTTGCGCAGCGCCGTGAGTTCGTGGCGCAGCCTGCGATTGGCATTGTGCAGCTTCTGCATCTCGATGAGCCACGAGCCGCTGTGGAAGCCCGTAAGCTCCGAAAACACGGTCGACGCCGCATCGTTAGCCGTCATGACGGGCACCGACGTGCCATTCGCCTGGAATGCCGAGCCGCTGAGCGAGCCGCTGCCGTCCTGCTGTTCGCCCGGCTCGCGCTCCGATGCCTTGCGCTTGGCCGGCACAGTGGAAGCAGTCGAGACGGGCGACTTGGACTGCGAACGTGTGTGTGTGGCCGTATCGGGCAAGTGCGGCTGCTGCTGAACGTGGACAAACGAGACCGAGTGCGATCGACCATTGGAGGTCCACGGATAGACGGTGAGTTTGACCGGAGCCTTTTGCGCTGTGCCGGGATCTTCGTAGTGATCCTGCACCGAAATACAGCGGCCGGAGCGGAGCGCATCGAGCAGATCTGACGAGCTCGTCACCATGGGCAGGTCACGCACGTGCCTACCAAGCAGGTTGATATCTTCGATGCCGAGAATCTGATGGATTGGACCGGTGGCGCCGAGGAAGATGCCGTTGTGCGAGATCTTGAGCCAGGCCGAGAGCTCCGAGGTGAGCAGGTCCTGGCGCACATCATTCCATGGCAGCATCGGAATGGGGTGCGGTCGACCCGAGCACACAACCACCTTTCGATGCTTGGGCGGGTCGACCGAGACACGACCGGTGGTCTCGATGAGACTGAACGTGCCGTCCTTGCACGCCATGCGCATGATGAGGTCGACACGTCGATGAGCCTTGACCGCCGTGGTGTTTTCGCAGTCCGAGCCTTCGTCGTCGCCATTGGGCAGCGTGATGGCCTCTTTGAGCTCGCGCGAAAACGGACCCACGTCGGCCGGATGACTAAAGTCGACGAGAGGACGGCCGATGATCTCCTCGGGATGGAAACCGAGGATGCGCTGCACGGAAGGCGACATGTAGAGCACAGTGCCCTTCAACGAAAGGACAAAGACGAGGTCGTGCGAGTTGGTGACCACGGCGTCGCTCCAGGTGTCTGCGTTGTCGGCGGCAGGGGCCAGACCAGCCGCTGCCCATGGAGCGGTGGACTCGAGGCCGCTGATGGAGGCGCGAGGAGCGCGACGGGGCTTTTGCAGTGGCGTCCTGGGCATCTCGGGCGAGGAGCCAAGAGGGGGCAGGATCGGATCCGGTGCCGACTTCTGGCGACTGCGGCCTGAGACAGTTGGTGGCGCGACGGTTGAGCTCGTTTGCTGCGCATTGGCTTCGCTGAGTGCAGCTGTGTTCGATTGTCCGATGTGGCTCAGACGACGTCTCTGTTGAATGGTGAGACCCTTTGTTTGTGCATGCAGCGAGGTAGAAGGCTCAGACACAGCGTCGGGCCTACCGATGGCATCGACGTTGAGGACGGAGCGGCTTAGGCTGGATGCGAGTGATCGAGGACCGGGATGGCCGGCATTGAGGAGCGTGCTGGTCTTGACCAGGTCGGCGAGATGCTGTGCGTGATCGGTGGCGATGTTGGTGTGGTAGCCGGTCAGCGTGTTGTTAGGCAAGAGGGGCGAGGGATGCGATCCGAGGCTGGCAGGGGAGAGTTGAGGCGTCGAAACAGTGTCCTTGGTCGCACGGCCGAGGTCCACGACGTCTTCAATGCAAGACGTGCTGGACGGTACGGTGCCAAGAGGATGGACCATGTCGGCTCGGAGGCTTGTTGCGTCTGAGGGCGTATCAGCACTGCCAGTGGGAAGGGAGGGAGGCATGGAGAGAGACGCCATGGTGTACATGCTGGAGGCACTCGAACCTGCGGGATCGCCCGTCATTTCAGAGGGGAACGACCAGGTATTGTCGGACTTGGCCGGGTCGTTGGAGTCGTGATAGAAATTGGCGAGGCCTGGTGAGATACCCAATGGGAGCGAAGGCGAAAGGCCGAAGAAAGGAGCATTGTCGCTGAGGGAGCGGTGAACGGAGCCTGGCCAAGCCGGGGCGCTGTTTTGGGTGTGCGAGGCGCTGGTATCGTGCGTCTGACTAGGAAGGTCTGCCAAGAAAGAGTTGAGCATCTTCTCGGTGTCTCCGTCGAGCGGGCTCATGTCGGCCCAGTTGGAGTGCATGTCGGGTGTGCCGGACATTGGGACGAAGAAGTTGTAAAGCGAGGGATGCGAGACAGCTGTGCTGATGAAAGCTTGGGACTGGATCGGACGAAGATAGAGATTGGGGAGACGTCTTAAGTTGGGTAGCAACTTTGATGGACAGGGCGGCAGAATGGTGCCAAAGGACAGAGCACGGCGGGAGGAGTTGGCTAGATGGACTGAATGGAGTCCTTGTGCGAAGATAGGCAACTTGAGTGGTCTGGCTTCGAGAGGAGGTCGAGAATGGTCGACAATAGAAGCTGTTACGAATCGCGACGGATCGAGTGTCGGAAAGGACGTTGTGGTGGGGGGGGGGGGGGGAAGGGGG